CTCGTGGCGTTTGCAGGAGCGGAGCGGATCGGAGGCTGCTCGGTGGTTTTGGATGGAGTTTCTTCCTGGCTGGAACTGGAGCCAAGGTAGATGCTGAACTTCCAGGCAGCTCTGATGAAAGAGAAACTGAAATTGAGTGGAAAAACACTGTGGGGGGGAGCACAGTCTCTGGAGAGGGCTTGATAAAGATGCCAAATGGCTCCTATATCAGTTTTCCTTTGCCTTCTGCCACCTGCTTTTCCTCTTGGGCTTCATTCCTGCCCCTGGGACTCTGTCTTCAGGGGGCTCCTGATTTTGGGTTGGGGGAAACGTGTCATGTCCCAGCAGCCCAGGCGCTCCGGGACGAGGGCTTCGCAGCGGGGCGCGAGGCGCGCGTCGTGCTGGGAGGAGGACGTGCATAAATCCCGGCCGGCGCTTTCGGGGAAGGAGCCCTTGGCTCCCAGGAACTCCTGCCCCTTCCCGCAGCCGGCACGGAGGGGCAGCGGGATTCCCGAGCCGGCCCCCCAGCAGAATCGAGCTCTCTTTCCTTCCCGTCCTTTTCGGGTGAGATGCAGTGGAAAAGCCTTGGGCAGCCTCTGGAGAACAGCTCCTTTCTTCTCCCTCTGCGTCCCCTGACCCGTGGTGCTTTTGGGGCTCTGTTGTGTCTGCTTACGCAAATCCTTCGGACGGGATGAGCCAGGCAAAGAGATGGCCCGGAGCAAGGCAAGGAGGAGGCTCTTGCCCCTCAGTGCTGGCCCTGGGGTGTTATTCATGTCACCTCCTGAAGATACCCCTGCCCAGATGCCGCATGCGTGACGGACGCTGTGTAGGCGGATGGAGAGCGCGGCCCGGCGGTGCTGGGGCTCTGACCACGCGATGCTCTGCGTTGCAGGAGCGCTCGGCGGTGCCGGGGCTCTGACCACGCGATGCTCTGCGTTGCAGGAGCGCTCGGCGGTGCCGGGGCTCTGACCAACGCGGTGCTCTGCGTTGCAGGAGCGCTCGGCGGTGCTGGGGCTCTGACCA